AGGAGTTGCTGCATGTAGCTATAGACTGGAGACGTTAGTCGTTAGGTAGCAATATACCGCAGAGTGCAGACAGTATAGGTGTTATAACTTTTATGCTTAATCTTTATTTTTAAAAACTTCTACTAATGCCTAACTACTGGAATTTCCCATTTGCGATAAAAAAAAAAAGAAAGTCCGTATTATTACAGGATATGTTACATAATATAAAAAAGGTACATTTTTATCGATACTTCATGTATTTTTTATTCATATTCAGTACATTCAAGTAGGGTAGTGTAACCACTGGGTGACTCCTCCCATCACGTTTTTCATGTAAATATTTTTGTTCTAATATCACATATTCTTATTGTTCCTAAAGGAACCGATATTGTATATACTTAATAAAGAAAAAGAAAAAAAAATATTCAGTACACACTATTATGGATATATACCTTATAATTATGTTTATTATATGATTCGATTGAACATTGGTTTTTCCACGAAAGTTGTGTATAGCTAATATGCACGGCAGTAGGTATACATAATTATATAATATAGACGGTCGTTTTCTCGGATCAACGTCTACATGTTCATTTAACTTTTTGTGATAAAAAAAATACAAACTCGTAGTTCGACGATTTAAAAAAAAAAAAAATAGTAAAAATAATAATTACGAGTAAGCTGTAACGACGCGCCCAGCTCGACAATACGATATGTATGTAATCAGTTCCCATCATTTTCGGTCAAATGTGCAATGCAGTCCGTTGATCAATATACTGTTAACACTTATATACATATAATACACACACACACACACACACACACACACACACACATACACACAGGTATAAAATTATATAATAAATTATGCACGTGCAGCGTGTCATCGATATAAACGCTTACCTCGCGCATTGTCACGGCTCCCAATAACATTATATACAGACCATTATGGTGACAAGTTGTGTAGGCTATTTCTTCGCGTGCGATGCGTTATTACATAATAATTAAAAATTGAATGTTAATATAATACAATATACTTGTGCATATTATTATAATATCATACACGCGTAGATAACGCGTTAATGACTCGTCCGATTATAATAATGTGTGTTTTGTGTATGTAGTTACTATACATATAATATACCTACTGCTATCGTAAGCAATATTCGAGTATATATATCGTATACGTATATTATATGTGTATTCGTGGGAGATGGCATTTTGTGTCAATGTTAGTAAGTACTTGTAATTTGCGCCATACCTGCAATATGTGGCAGTGGCGGCTTGAACTTATTTTTTCTAATCATTTTCAACACCCACGTTTATTTATATCTATATTTATAGATAAAATTTGGTCTATGTAGATTTATAGCATATTTGGCATCTATTGTCTTGTTTGCTATTGATTATTTTTATGTTAAAATTAATTTATATTTAATCGATGATGTTAAAATAAGTTCCTAACTTTTACTCAACTACAAACGTCAACTTTCAACACCCACCCTATGGTTTTTTCGTGACGCAACTGGGACATATTAACCCCGTTCACGCCTCCACTGATAGGTGGTATATTTAAGTGAGTGTGTAATCTGCGCCACAGCCCACAAATTTTATACTATAATTTTGGTAATCAGCGCCAAGGCAAAAATCGAAATGACGTATTATGTAGATTATAAAAAAAATTTAACAAATTTAACAAATTTAAATTATTGGAATTTACCTGATACAATACTAAGCTCTATATACGTAGCGTGATGAATTTATTGGTGGATAGAGGGCTATTGCCTTATTTAGTATTTTTGCACATAACGTTATTTCATCTAACACATCTACTCCACGTCTACTCGTACACAAGAAGATGCTATCTATATGTTCATAAATAGCAATAAAGCGTATTACAAAATAATATTATTTAGTCCCGAGCACATTGTAAATCAACAAAATGTTACGTTAACTATATAGGTAGGTAGTATTATACAATACTGCAATTATTTTGTTTCATAGTACAGGTGTTCAGCTTTTATTCAGATTCCAAATTATGTGTTTGCCAGTATTAAATTGTAAAGTAGGTAAAAATTTTCAAATTTACAATACTATTATTTTAATAAATTATGAGATAATACCATAAATAAGATTAACTGAAATATCTGTTTGTAAATAATTATTATACATGTTTACTATTTTTAGATTAAAATTCTCAGAACCAAGGTGTAGGGAGGTTGCAGGTTTTGCTACATTAGCGAATAGCGGATGTCATTAATATTTAATATGATGCGAGTTTTTTGCCCGGATAATATAATGGGGTCGGCCCCGGAAAATATATTCATTTTTTTGTATGAGGACACCCACACGTCACATTATTCGTGATTTCGGAGTTCCCCAAATCACTATAGTTTAAGAGGGGGTTGGCAACAGGTTTAGGGGCGTAGGCCGTATATAGTATTGGGGTGGCAATATTTTTATAAATGCACCACTGTATAGTGATATTATTTTCACGATTCGATTCCATACCTACTGAAAGTAATATATAAATGCATACTGTACAAGTAGATATATTAATTTAGTTTTAATTTATAGGTATAATATACTTGACAGCTAAGCTAAACTAAAATACGATTACAATAAATAAACAGCATTATACGTATATGTATAACAAGATATAGACAAAAGACAAATTTAGCAAGTAGAGAAATTCGAAAAGAAGGCACATTCAGTATAATTAGTTCTATAGAATTGTAATTAAATGTATAATAATTTGAAAATAAATTAGGTATATCTATACGTGCTATTATTAGACCTATTTTAGTTATAGGATATTATATGGAATGTACATTTTCAGACAGTCGATATGAACAGTATTATGATCATTTTACCGAATTCTTAGTAGGTATATGATTCATCAAATAAGTTTAATTTCTCTAATATACTGCAGTATAGTATACAGAACAGAGTGTACTCAGCCTGCAGTGCTCACCTCCATCTTTTCATTCTGCATCCACCTAGATCCTATCTAAAAACTAATTTATTAAAATTTCGATTTTTGGCATACTAAGGTATACTTAAGAACCATATTTTAAAATTCTTAGATTCTTTAATACTATTTAAGGATTGTGTTGTGATGATACTAACTGCTTTATTCAAATAAAAATCACCATTTTTTGACTTTTTTGAAAATTTTAATGTACATGAATCGATTATCGAATGAGTAGCTTTTGAGTTATATAACTATGTGTGTCATTAACTAAGGATAATGATCTATTGACTATTATCATGGATATAAAAAATAAAATGGGATACCAACCTATACCTACGGAAAATATAGCTAGGATGATTTGAAAATTGTAGTCATCAATATACGAGTACTAATCTTTCAACATTTTATAATTTGAAAAAAAATTGTTCTATACCTAATGTAATAAATACTTAATGCAACATTCAGATATATATTTTGTATTTTCAAGGACTATGCTTTATTATCTTTATACATTAGTAGGTACTCATAATATGAATTATGAATTTCAATAACTCAGAATCTACTAGTTAGAATTTTAATTTAGATGCATCAACATTTTCAAAAAAAACTTCTTAACAGTTCACAGTAATATCTAAAAGTTAGTTCTCATTAGAAAAAAAATAAATTTGTATCGGCACTCTTGAAAATAGTATAATAATGTTGATGATTGAAAATATCATTATATGTACACAAAAGTTCCAACAATTTCATAAATTCAGAATTTGAATAATTTTATTGTTAAAGAAAACAATGGAAGGAGCATGCTTTTTGAATCAAGACAGATATTGCAAGCGTATACAATAATATTATACCCATTTGATCTGCAAATGTCCCTCAATAAAACATTAAACAATAATAATATATGTAAGGGAGATCCGGGTGATGCAGATAGCTGGGCAACGTAATTAATGTTATTAACTTTTTGAATATATATTGACATTTAAATATAATTGAGCATTTAAGTTAGTATTATTGTGACTCACCAACGCAGAGATAATTATGATTTAATGTCAGTCACTCGCTTACATTCGTATTTTTTCCGAAAATAGTAAGAATTTGTAAAAAAAAAAAACGAGTTATGAATCTAAGCCCTTTTCAATGATATTTATAAATTAATTATTTTAAACTACGTTTATTGTGTTAATAACTATACTTATTATGTATGATTATTAAACACAATTTTCGAAATCATATATAATAAATAAAAATCTTGTTTATTTCAGAAAAAATCAATCCGGGGAAAGTGAAGGTATTTATTTAATTCATATTTTGTATACGGTATACCAATTATATACTGACTATGAAAACACAACTTAAAAAAGTTATTTATAATATCATCATAAATTATATAGTATCCTCAAAAGTATTACGTTATCCCTAACCCATCTATATATATTATTATATAGGTATAATATGACAACAATGTGTCAACATTCTAATACGTGTGCTCAAATAGGTTGGCACACGATAATGGATTATTGAGGCGTACCTACTAAACGTTTTTTCCTATATACCTAGCATAACATAGGATGGCAGAGTGCAGCTAACATTAGAGTGTGATGGTGTCGTGATAAGATACGCAAATTATAGACAACGATAACATTTTTATTTGTAATAATTTACAAACTTAATATGCGTATAAATTATTATTGATATATCCCGCAGACCGCAGTACCTATTATACGGCGTATACTATACCCGCCTACCTATCATACCAAAATAAAAATGATTTTCGATCCATTTTAAAAATGTTCGGTGGCCAGATAGTATAATGATTAATAATAATATCTAGCCATTATTACCATATTGCAGACGTTTTCGGGCTCGACGATCACGGCTGTAGCTTCGTCGGCGACAAAGACTCCAACGTCGGCCGCCGGGGTGACGGGACGCGCGCGCACTAGCGCGACCAATGAGCACGTCCGGGGCGCGACCAACATGGTCCGGGGCCCTCCTACCGACCAGACGCGCCCGCTACCGCCACTGCCGTCTTCATCAGTATTCGCACAGTAACGACAACGATACGACAAGACGACCGCGACGCGTGTCTCTGTCGCAAACACGAAAACGCATTTTAACTGCATCCACCTCGTATCTAACGGTCTCGATCGAATAGCGCGCATTTTATACGTACGTACATACAGAGTGCGATAAAACGAATTATAATATTAGTGCAAGTCAGCTAGCTGTATGGGTACGATTTCGCCGCACTGCCGCTCAGATAGAACTCAAGAACGTCTCACTCACAGATACGACGCTGCTGGTGCATCTGCAGCTGCGGTGTTATTATAAATAGTAATTTTAATATTAACAGTATCAACCACAGTGGTTTGCATCGCGGTGATGACGTGCGCGTTTCACTAAACGGTTGTCCGGTGCAGCGCGCCAACGACGACGACGCGAGCCGGCCATTGCATGTCGTACATGTCGCCGAGGGACGTCGTCGGCGTCCGCGCCGCCGGCAGCATCAGCCTGTCGCCCGGCAGTTGTATGGAAGCACTCAGCGAGAGTTCGGCGTCAAGCGCGGCGGCCGCGGCGGGCGGCTCCGTCACCGTCTCCGACTTCCTGCAGACAAAGCGCAGCCTGTCGTTCTCGTCCGAACAGGTGTCGTGCATGTGCGAGGCCCTCCAGCAGTCCGGTGACGTGGACAGGCTGGCCCGGTTTCTGTGGTACCTGCCACCGAGCGAACTGCTCCGCGGCCAAGAGACCGTCCTCCGGGCCAGGGCCCTAGTGGCGTTTCACAGGTAAAAACACTCCGCCGCGGTATTTAATTATTATATTTATTTATTATTATGGGCAGGTTGTTAGTATATTTTATTATAGTTTCATATTCATAATCACTGACTTATAGGTATCATTTTCATAATAAAATATACATGCAGACTTTAACCGCTTCACATTGATCTTGTAATTACACTTAGGTATACAAATTTATAATAATTATTATAATGGTCCGAATTTTAGAATTCAACATGTAATTACTGAGCATAATTTACAGTTTTTACTTTTTAAAAGAGTACCTAACAATTAATAAGAACTATTTGTCCATCTTGATATCACGACTACCGCCGGTCAAAAATTCCGGTGTTGCCGACCGTAGTCATTTCCATGGTAAACAATCACACTGTTAAAAGCTAGACTTGGTGAGTTTAGCCTTATCTAACTTTGGGGCTTCTCTAAATTGAGAAATAAAAAGCATAGGGGAACCAGGCTCTTATATTTGGAGTCCTATCTGGGGAGTTTATGTGGGGAAAAACATCGAAGGAGAATATCCATTATCCATTAGAAAATATTTCCGAAAATTGGTAGCGAAAAATAATGAAAAAATATAAATATTCCAGAATAAGGTTACTTTGGAGAATTTCCTCCCATAAGGACATTAAGAACGCACTTAAAATTTATTTTGATTCCCTTCCGTTTGTTCTATGGTTACACTAATATATATGATCTATCTATATATTATATATTATATAAAAATGTCTGTATGTCTCTTGCGCCTGCCTAAACGGCTGGACCGATTTTGATTAAAAAATGTGTATGTGTTTGAGTGGTTCCCTGGATGATTTAAATTCACAATTGGACCCTGTAGGACCAACCTGGAGGGTTCCTCAAACAAGGATTTTGAGATTTACGAAGGAAATCACTAATTACTCTGTAAATAATTTTCAATTCTATTTGAGGGACATTCAACTAAACGAATGGATCATACATTTCAATGACTTACAATTTTTTTAACTCATGTATTTTAAAAAAATTTACTAAATTTGATATTTTTTTTAAAACGTATTTCAACGTATTTAATAACGTATTTTTCTCTTTAAACACCAAATATAAATATAAATACAATCAAACTTGTTATTATCAAAATAAAAAATCAATTACTTATTATGAACTAGCACATATTTTATTTTATTATCAAACATTATAAATGACCTACTTACTTAATTTATAATAAAAACATATATTTTCAGAAAAAAATTTGAAATTTAGAATTTCGTTTTTTGAAAATAGTTACAATACATCGAAATTACGGGTATCTACACTCTATGAGTTTTACTTTTTTGATGGTGTATTAATATAATATTATGTAGTTATATAATTTATAACCCCAAATAATGTCAGTGTATTATGTTCTATGCACAACAGGACTTCGCTCGATGTTTCGGAATAATGTCATATTTGTGACTTATAATAAACATAATATTATATTATAAGTATATATATTTATGTAATGCCACCGACCGAAATCAATTGTTGTACACGTTTTGCCCATCAACAACATTACAATATACGCATAGTTGTACGAGTTTTCGTGTATTAAAATATTATGCATATATATATATATATATATACAATAATATGTTTTATTGTTTTCGTTGTAACCCGTACAGAAATCCCCGGCACTGTTCAAACGAGTTGTTTTTTTTTAAATTTTTGTTTCGTATAAACACGATACTTACTGTGCACTCTTGCTGGCCATAAAACGATATTCCTTTTTTTTTTGTTTCTTTTCTGCTTGCTCAAATATAACATTAAGTCTAGTTCGTTTTCCTTCCAAACGACCCTCTATGAGAAAACAATAGGTTTTCAAAATTAATTTATTACGGATAACTAGAACATACAATAATTTTAAACGTTTCCGATAGTAAAAATAAAAAAAACTACACATAGTTTATTAAAAATATATGATAAATATAAACATGGAATTATCACATCGACTTATTTCTGAATTCACGGGATTCGAGTGTGAAACTGCACTACTGCAGTTCCCCTGCAGTTTTCAAATATCAGCAATATAGGCGTGTAGTAATGCAATCCTAATATAATAATAGTAAGTAGTAACAATGACATTTGTATGCGAATAATTATTATAATTATACATGTTGCACATGCAGTTGTACAATATTTCTTTTGTTATTGAGTAATAAGGGCTTAACAGTTAAGGTTATTAGCTTCTAATAGTTGCATATTGATCTTAACACTGATACATTATGTTGAACAGTTGAGGAAGTTTGTGAAATAAATTATGAGTATTAATATAATTTCGCAGTTGTACATAATATATTTCCTTTTATAGGTACCGTGTTAGGTAAATATCTATCCAGTGTCCTCGGATTGAAGTTAATTTTTGTAACATTCTAATAAATACTAAATACTGAAATACTCATTTTTTACGATTTTCAAATTTATACCCTGTTTACTGTACAAATTCAACAAAACTTGCGTTTTTAAAATTCCAACACGTATTTTCAATACCAGATTTTGGTATACCAATACGGAATTATTTTAAGTAATTTCGACTTTTAACCTTTATAAAACCAATGTTTACCTAGTTACAAGTTGGGTAGGTAAAATAAATTAAGTGTGAGTACTGAGTGTGTGGCTTATGAAATTGTTTTATGTATATAACAATACGCAATATTAGTTTCAATGATAATATGCACGTAATAATAATATGAGTACGTAAAATATTGTAATTGTATATATTATAATACTTTCAAATTATAACATATATACTAACTGGCGCTAAAGCCGAACAGCGCTGCATTTTTCACATTATTATATTAATAGGACACGCTAATGAATTATGATGGTTGATGCGAAAAAAATATCTAAATATCGTTATTATATGACCACAATATTAATATAATAAATTGACGAGGAAATTCCTTTATTTCGAATAAAAATATTTTACGAATTGTATAAAAACTATTCGTTTATAGGAAGATTCAACTATATATACCTATCAGTAAGATTTTAGTTGAAAATTATAATATACGCAGTACGCACCTATTCGCAGTACTCCGAAAATAGTACTGAAAACATAATTCGAATTCCTGATCGTTTTACTTATTAAATATTGTTTTTTGTGATTTCGTGAAATAATAATGTTATTGTATAAGCGGAGGACGGATGTTTATTTAGGTTTTACTATACTGATTTAAAACCTGCAGTGGTCAATATGTGTACGTTTTGATGCACTTCTTCTCCTATAAAAATATTTTTCACCTACAATTGTGAATTTCCAATATTCAGCAGTAAACGTCAGGTTTCTTTTGTAAGGTTTTCCAAATATATTGAAAATTCTTAAATCAATTACGGTGTATTATTGTCTATCTACATTCGAATTAAAACAGTATATTATCAGCATGCATACAACGTATAGGTACATATATATATTATAGGCATATAGCACTTAAATAGTGTGGGTTGTGGGTATACGCGTTATAATGTACCTATAAGTAAGTTTTTTTAAAACGAAAGAACAAAACACATTATTTTAAAACAAATATTATAGATTCCTCGCTCCTGCTCAGAATCTAATACGGTGTTTGTAAAACGTTCAGCTGTCACTGTGTATACACTCTCGCTCGACGATTTATTGGAATACATATGCATGTGCTCGAAAAACAACAACGGCATAATATGACCATATCTTCTAAAATTATTGTTGTCGTGACTTATCCAATTGCAGTAAAAATTGTAAACAACTGACAGGTGTTGTTGAATACGAAACATTGATAAATGTGCGCACTATTTAGTATTTACCGATCATCATTATAATATATATCATTAATTTGTATACGTGTAACATAAGACTGCAATTTCCGAAATTCGAAATAAAAATTTTATTTACCACATGAAGAAACTATACTGAATACTAGAATCATACAGGCGTACTGCAGTGGTGATAGAAACTTTTGGGGATCTGTTATTCAATACAGCCAATCGCCATCATATCATGTACAGTGAACATAAACAATAACTTGTGTAGATACTCATGTGAAAACAAACTGAAGAAGTGAAAGATATAATAATATTATGTTATATAATATATATTTTTAAAGACATATTTTGGTTCGTGACTTGTTGCATTTATAATATTCATAATAAGCGATTATATTTATTAAAAAATCCAATCAATGATTGGGAATATTGAACATTTAATGTATTATTTTTATATTTACATGCCAACAGATAAACATAATAATTATAAGCATAACATATTAGGCATAAGAGAAAAAACCAAAAAATGTATCAAAATAATTACAGAATGTTCACCTATTATTATTTATCTACAAAAAGAACCCAGTACGTACATGACTATAAATGTTGCCTGCTCACAGTATCTAATATTTTTCATAGACGAGTGTTCAAAATTCAATGATACTATAAGTTAAAAAGATCGAATAAATGTAATAAATGGTAATAAAAGTTACACATTGTAACAAAATATTTAAATATGTAGTAGGTATATTCGGTAAATTAAAGTATTGTTTGGAACCAGGCGTTTAATGTGGTAGCCAGCTGCAAGACATTAAATTTTATTCCGCAACGTCGCCTATTGAAAATTCCTTAAAATATTCTCTGATAAAATATGTATGTACCTATAATAAACATATCATAATATGTTTGTGTACAGAATGATACGCGTTTTGAGCACTGATATTAATGTTTTTTTTGCAATTCATTAGAACGTGTAAAGTTATATCAATTATTATATTTTTTTTACTCAATGTAAAACTATTATAATATTTTACGTGCAATCGTTTTTTTTTTTTTTTTAACAGCGGAAACGACAATAGCGTAATCACATTCACAGACATCTATACGCCAATATATTTCCTGACAGACGTAGCATATATTTTTATTTTTTTATTTCCAATTCTCACGCCGTTTTTAAGTTTTTGCTGAAGTAAATGTTTTTGTCGATAAGCAGTATTCGGCCACCACCTTATGCGAATGAATGTAATAAAAAAACAGAATTTAAATATACTACTATATTAAGCATTATGCATAAAATTTTGCAACAAAAAAAAGATGTTCGTCCAACAATTTGGCGCGTTTAAAAAAAACATATCAACCGGAAATGCACTAATGTTATAATAACTATGCTTCAATTGTAGAACGAATTTATATGTAAATACTTTAACGCGTTAAACGAACAAAATACCGGATAAAGTGATGATAAAGGTGCAGATGATGTATAAATATCGAAACAACCATCATAATAAAAGATCCTCAAGCAAGATCGGGAGGGAGAGAACAGCGAGAAGGGGGAGTGATTTTGATATCCACCGCATATGTTTGGTATTATAATGAAAAACCTGAAACGAGATAACGACACGATGCGTATACGGTTTAGGGAACCCTCCCTCATCCCTTACCTGTGGCACGCCTGAACAGGGCCAGTTGGAATGGAATGCATTGTATATACTAAGAAAATAAATTGTAAGGATACAAAATACTGGTTTTTTTCAAATCCTGTATGACATAATTTAGCATTAAACGAGTTGTCGTTCGAGTCTGGTCAGTTGTTCTTACACTAACCGAGTTACATCCCCCCGCCAAACACATAAGACTCGTACATTATACCTGTTATACATTTATATGCTTATAACATCGTAATTGGTTATTTACAAGAAAATACTTTCGATTTTAATTTATTTTTTTTATTATTAATGTTAACATGCATTCGGGTTCTATGAATGAAAAAAGGGATGAGCTTGACACTAATAATTATTAATTAGTTTATCCTAAATTAGTGGTTTTGAAAAATGATCAATCACAAATTTGTTGAAATATTCTAGCTTTATAAGAGACGATGTAGAAATAACACATAAAAAAACAAAAACAAAAATTAAAAATTAATTAATATGAACAAAAAAACATTTTTGATAAAATATCGAAGCACTATAGCATCTATCCTATGGATCATCCCCAACAAGCGTATTAAACTTAACGCTTAGGCATATGTGCATTTATAACATTATATACATCAATTTTTGATTTATTAATACATAATAACAACCATAATTAATAATATTGAACAGTATTTTAGGGTTGTGTAGTCGTGTGTAGAACGTTAAATGCACTTATTCAGACTTGGGTGACAATTTAGTAATTTGTTGTGCAGGAAGTAGATTGTACATGATCAACTCAAAGTGGCGCACAATGAGGTTAAAAAGTAAAAACCTAAACAAATGCGTGAAATTTGACTCTCTTATGATTTGTATAGTAGACCTCGTAGATGCACACGGTGATCTTTAAACAAATCATGTAACAATAACGTAGTACGTGACCTAAGTAACCGAATTAATTGTATAAACAAAACATTTTCGCGGATTTTACAAAAAAATCTTATAAAAACCCATGTTGCATTTGTTGAAAAAAATCTCATATTAATTCTTATAATAAATGTAAATGAAAAAAATAAAAACACGTAATTTTGTAATTAAAGACATTATAAAAAACGAGCTAGTCTGCATATAATATTTAACGGATTAAGCGGATATAAACACGGTTCATATTATATTCAATGCGATATCACAACTTCATTGTTATGAACGCTTTACCTATTGTATCATAATAACAGTTGAAAATCTCTGAAATAATTATTTTATGAATGAATTTGATATAGACATCTTTGGTTACCAATAGGTTATACTCAGTTATAGACGTTATAGCCTTATAGGTATACCAATAATAATCTGTTTACAAATTACATGCATAATAATGTATTATATGTACAGTCTGTATGACTGATAAACATATTATGTGTACCTACTATAAGGATCGAGTGAAAATGATGTCATCACCATCACAATAAAATATAGCGAAATTAAATCAAATAGTTCAGTTAAAATAATATTATTTTAGGCATACATCGAGCTACAAATACTCAAATGCGCATATTATATAATATATATATACCTCTTAGCTTACTCATAAAGTCATAAGCTTAACTGATAAATCATATACGTAAATGGTAATACATCCGTAGGTACCCAGGCTGTCTAGCTGTCTATATGTATAGATAATATTGCGTACATGTATAATAATATGATAACCAATGGAGTATCCAGAATTTTGATTTGGCGTTGATAATTTGCTATATGACTATAAAAGGAAGGCTGTTAACCAGGATCCCTCTCCCAAGTTTGGTATGCAAATGCCATGTAGCCTACAACATTATATTATAGACATTCAGCAGGACTTCATGCAAGTTAAAATTTTAATAAATAGTTATAGATACGTCTTAATATTCGCGTTCACAAAACACTGAAATAATTTTTTTATTTTCCTGAAATTTTGCAAAATCGGTCATGCTAGACGCAAATTTACCATCTAGTAAGTTTATAAGACACAAAGTCGGAGATACATGAGAAGGTATATTACGTTCTCTTATAAACTCATTTTTAATTTGTATTGTATAAACGTGTATATGTATATAATATAATTGTGTGTAAATAAATTATATTTTAGCATTTTTAACCTTCAAGAAGACCCTATTATAATAAATATATTAAGTATAAATGGAACAAAAAATTTGGCTCCTTAATAATTACGCGATAATTACGTTTGTGATGTTTTATTATCTGCTTGAATTTTGTTGAACACAAATCGTGTGGAAGTATAAAATGAAAATTTAAAAAAAAATGGCTCAACACCTTTATCGTATTAAGTTATATTATAAACTTGCTTCGTTACAGGAACGCATTCCACGAGCTGTATGCCATATTGGAAAGCCAGAGCTTCGACTCGAGGCACCACTTGCAGCTCCAGCAGCTGTGGTTCAAGGCGCACTATCTGGAAGCGGAGAAAATCCGAGGTCGGTCGCTAGGAGCGGTGGACAAATATCGGCTGCGTAAGAAGTACCCTCTGCCGAAGACGATATGGGATGGCGAGGAGACCGTGTACTGTTTCAAGGAGAAGTCAAGGAACGCGCTGAAAGACTGTTACCTGAAGAATAGGTACCCGACACCCGACGAAAAACGTGAGCTGGCCCGGCGGACGGGCCTGACGCTCACGCAAGTCAGCAACTGGTTCAAGAATCGGCGGCAACGTGACAGGACGCCCCAGCAGCACAGGTCAGTTATAATGCTAATAACTATTACTAGTTATTAAGTTACATAGTTAGTTGATTGTTAAGTTACATGGTCAGAGGCAAATGTAAACTGGGCCTGTAATGACCTTTTTTATTATGACCTTGGCTCAGACATTTCTGGAGATGAAAAAAGCCAATTGTAAACTCAGCCCGATAATTTTCATACATAACATATGAATAGTACGATATAGTTGAATCTGAAAATAATATAATATAACGTATATTATGTGTTATAATTCTGCTATAATGAATTTGCATACTTACTTTTTAGTAATATCATTGTGTATAGATTATAAAATATAGATAGTATCCGTACTACGGAATATAGATATTATACTATCTATACTGTGATACTAGTGATACTCAATAGTCAATGGTAACAGATATGAAAATGAAAATAAAACAAAATAATTTTTGGAGGATAATGAGAATTGCCTCCTCGTTCTACCCCCTGGATATAATGCTAGTTGGATTTCAAAAATATTATAATATAATTATTAAATATGAGAAGATCTGGTCATATTATTTTTATTCGGGTCAAGTTTACATGTCAGTCATTTTTACCTGAAAAACTCAGACCGAGTTTTGCTGTATCTCTTTTATACATGTTTTTCCTCGGGCCAAGTTTACAATCACCCGCATGGTCAGGTGATACATTTAAATCGCGTGTCAAAAACCAAAACACAAAAACTTTCGCATCATACCACATCACTTCTAAAAAAGTCGTCAATAGTTGCATGCTACGGACATCGTGGAAAACATAAATATATTATATAGTATTACCAAAATTATATTATGTTTTCCAAAACAATTTGATATACCTACTTAACTCAATTTATAAGATTAATTAATCTAGAAATAAAAAATTCACAGTTTATATTTTTTTAAATTGTTTTCGAAAAACTATTACAAGAATTTAAACAACAAAAATAATAGATATTATATGATACCCTTACAATAATAGTTCACAAAAATAAATGTAATAGGTAAACGAATATAATAGTATCTACTATGAGACAAAACTTTTTTTTGTGTTTCCACTGTTACAGACAGGAGGTAGGACTAACAGAATATAGTACAGCAGTTCATAATTGTTAACCTTATTTCGAGTTAAATAATTTAGATACACGAAATAAATTAAATTACCTAGGATAAATTTGTAATGTTATTATTTAGCCCATGGTGCCCATTGCATACAATTCTGATGCACTGTAGTTGTAGTACCTATATATTATGGCAACTGACAAGTTTTAAGCCGAACTAGATAATAATATCACTACATCAGTCCTTGCTATAATTTTAATTTTTATATATTATGTACTGTCGAATTAAAGTTGTCGGTTGTGGGCAGTCCAAATTAATTTATCTGAATATTAAAGATAATTTCGTTAAAAACAATATATTTTGTTTTCGTATTTGGCTCTAATAAATAAACAACGTGATAATCTTAATGTGAAAAAGTTGAAATTGAGGTTAATATTAAGAAATGGTCTATAATAATACGATATTATTAGGTGAACGATTTAACACACTAATAATGAGTTTCAGACTCAGATAAATCAATCTAAATTAATATCATTATATATATAATTCGACTGTACGTGTGTATGTCACTGAACTCCTAAACGGCTGGACCGATTTGAATGAATTTTTTGTCTGCGTTTGGGAGACGCCCTGGGTGCTTTAGATTCACAATTGGACCCGATAGGTCTGACCCGGAGAGTTGCTCAAACGGGGATTTAAAGATTTACAAAGAAAAATATAAATATATTTAGTAGAAATTGGTATTTTTGTTTTGCTTATTGGTTGCCTGCAGTATTTCATCGGGCAGATTAGGTATAAGCATGCATACAATTGAATTTTTGCACATTGCCTACCAAAGTGGCTGAGTTGCACTTATAGCTTCTCATCTCTGTCCGCAATCAAATAAAACATATTATTTATATAAAATACTCATCAAGCGGGGTCCGCAATCCACAGTAGGTAGGCATAAATGCATAATATACTGCTCGCATTATCACCATCGAGTCTCATATAGAGTTGATATTTTTAACAGGCAACAAAGTGCAGAAGATCAGCTAGTTTCATATATAATTTTACAAAAATGAATTATGATGTATAATATTATTAATTCATTCTTGTTCGATCCTTCTACGATCACGACTACGATGTCTCCGTCGGAATCCGTCATTAAGAGCTCTAATGTAGATTGGGTTAGGGTACTACGGTATAATAATATTATAGTTTGTTATTAGTATAATATTATAAATTGTATCACACATTTAGTATTATTTTACAGTTTATACCCGTTTAAAAAGGGTTCCTCTTGTATGCGATTCATAAGCAATCAGACGTCAATCAAAGACGAAACTAAATTTTTTCACGCCCAACATCGAGTAAACAGACCAAATACGGTATAATAATATATTATAATCACTTATTGCCGCTGACGACGACAATCTTAATAATAATTTTGTAGGTATAAGTAGGAAAGTTTCGTAAAAAATTATCGACATTTTTATTTGTAGAATGAGACTGATGATGTCCCTGTCCTTCAGACAGCTAGTGGGAGGTGTCCAAATTGTGTTTGAATATTATATTAAAAAACCCCCCTTTAAAAAATCCTGGTTACGCGTCTGTTGTCCTTCTATGCCGAGAAAAAAATTTTTCGTTTAATTATTTAATTTTTTTTTTTTGTTCAACGTAATCACAGAATAATGGTAAAACAATCGTCCGCGTGACGACGAATTGTCTCGACAGTAAAGTGTTTATATTATTATGCACTATCAAAATTATTATGAAAACAGAAATGTACATATGTTATGTTCTTTGGTAACAACTAACAAGAATAGGTTATCATTAAGGAAATAAAAATGTAAATAGGTAGTTGAAAATACAAGAATGATATTATTTATTTCAAGGCTAAATTATTAATGATTGTTGTTTCTTTTATTTTTACTGTGCCCGCCATATAGTTACTACGCCTATTCCACCGTATAATACAATGCAGTTATAGACATGTATATATTTTAATAGTTTCAAACTTATTCATCAATAAAACTAATAATTCGTGAGTTTTTTGCAATGTAAACATTTCTTTTTTTCGTGTTAAATTAGAAAAAAAATGCGCAATAGTAATTTTTATATTTCTTAAAAAACATAATTATATCGGTACATATTACATCGTAAATAAAATAAAAAAAAACTAATTAGCCGTTAGGTTAGCTGCAGTATTCAATATAGTTCATATCAAATTATGTGTTAGTAATTGTTAAAAATAATTAATTTACAAAATAATTACATTTGCAAAACCAACAAAGTCTAGAAATAATTATTAAATTATAATTCGATTTTTCTTCAATTACTGAGAATCGAGGTGCTTCAATTAATATTGTATAGTCGTGTTTTGGAATTTTAGAAAACATTTATTTCGTTGGTTCAGTGTACAGTATTATAATATAATATTATACTTAATACGATTCTAGTGAAACCGTTTTATGTATATAGTTAACCAAAAATTCAGCTATATGAGCAGGCATGATATTTTACCCTAAATGCATTTCGAAAAGATTGACAAAAGCGATTAGTCAACTAGTCGATTGCATAACACATGTGTAGCATAAAAATTGACATGGGCCAGTCCTAAATTGAAAACCATAAGACCAGACTTTTTTCCCCAGAAATTCCTATAAGGGAAAGAATCTCATTAATAATTGAAGCCATGCACACACAAGGACCGATTTTAAAATATACTAGCAGCTATAATATATGAAATATGTTTTTGCTGGTTTGAATTTAAATAACGACTATAGCGATCTAAATGCCAAAATATAACTACCCTTTCAAACTCAGTCTCGGCTATTAGTAAAATCCTAAGTATTTACGTCACGCATCTACGATTCATAAGACTTATCGTCGGTCAAAAGGTCTAGAATCTAGATGATATAAGCCCAATGTGAAAGATTCCCTTCAAAAACCATATAATATACAATACCTACGTTTTAAGTTATAAAATTTAAAATATCAACAGCTATGTAGGTTAGCCTCCCATAAAAATATTTATTCTGGTACTACGCCTGTACCTATATAGGGTGATTCACCCAGCATGCTCATCATCAATTTTTTTCTTTAATAATGAATTTATTCACATTTTGATTTTAGAATTTTTAAGTATAATTTAAGTACCATTTTATACCAAGTTAAAATACTGAGATTTTTTACACAGTTTGAGTAGTGTCCTGTAGCGATACGAAATTTGTTTTTCCAGATCAGAACCAACCAAAGCAGATTTTTTTATTGTTGATTTATGTAAATCAAAATTTGAACGAGTGAAAAACGATGCTTGTTTCGTCACAAGACACCCCTTGAATGGTATAAAAGTCTAAGTATTTGAATATATGGCTCTTAAGTATATTAAAACTCTGTATAATGTATATACGCATATGCATCATATAAGTTTATAAACCATGGGTTTGAACGAGTACATTTATATGCTATACTGTAATAACATTATAGTCTACAATAATGTGCGCATAGGTACGTTTAGTTGTACAACAACTGGCGACGCATAAAAAAACATATATTTAATATCGTATAATAACTACCTACGAAAACGAAGAAACCTAAAATATATTGTATTAGGTGGGAGAAAAAAATATTAAAATCTTCGTAAACGTCGTCGTTGACGACGGTGGCGGCATAACGTTTCCGTAAAGAAAATCACGCCGTCGTGTTTGCCATTAAACACATATATTTAATATATGGGGCGACGGCAGTGGCGGTGTTTCCGACGGTCAAGCCCAGTAGTACAAACATATAATAATATAGTGAGTACCGACTGCCGAGTTTACGATGTTATTGTGTACATGCGCGCACATGTAAAATATATATTATATCATATTATATATTTATATACACATAATATATATATAATATATTGGCATGTGTGTGTGTGTGTGTGTGTGCAGTATATATCCCGTGTCC